GGTTCATATCCCAACCCCGGCACCTCCTGCCTGGAGTTTGCATGTTCTCCCTGTGCCTGTGTGGGTTTCCTCCAGGTACTCTGGTTTCCTCCCACACTCCAAAGACATGCTGGTAGGTGAATTGGCTCCTGTCTAAATTGTCCCTAGTATGTGTATGTATGAATGTGAGTTAGGGACCTTAGATTGTACGCCCCTTGAGGGTTAGGGACTGATGTGAATGTACAATGTATATGTAAAGTGCTGTGTAAATTGATGGCGCTATATAAGTACCTGAAATAAATAATCACAAATCCCCTCCCCCCCAAGACTTTCAGCGTTACTGACAGGTCCACCCTTCAAAAGAGGAAGGCAGTGCAGGCTGTTTTGCTCATCACCACCAGGTGGCCCTGTGCCATTATCAGCTCCTGGGCAGCAATTACAGGCTGTCCTGATAGGGGTCCAATGATCAGCCTTCTATAGACTTCCCCCTCACTGAGCACCTGCAGGAGGGGCCGGGACAAGGTCAGCCACAGCGATCATACCTAATTGTGCCCCCCACCCCCCATGCAAGATGTATAGCATTATGTGTCAACAAAAATAGTGATCCCCCCCAAAAAAAAAAAAATAATCAAGCCCTAATCTGCATGCTTACCCCCTAAGCATAAATCCCCCCTCCTCTCACCACAAATCCACCCCCTGATGAAATCCCCCCTTCAAGCACAGATCTTTATCCACCCCCCCCCTGTAAACGCTCAAATCCTCTATCTCCCCATCAGGGGCGGACTGAACATTCGGAAACTTGGGCACTGCCCGAGGGCCCGGGGTCAGTAGGGGGCCCCATGAGATGCCCCTGGTACCTTTTTCATAGGCTTTTTTGAGTTTGGGCAAGGACACAGGGGCCCCATGATCCCCTATTGCCCGGTGAGGCCCCATGAAGTGTCACGTCCGCCCCTGCAGGGGCCCCATTATCCCCTATTGCCCAGGGGCCCCATGAGTTGTCAGTCCGCCCCGCTCTCCATATGCCCCATCATAAATCCCCCTGTAAATGCTCCATCCCAGCCAAATTCCCCTCCCCCCAATGGTCCCCCATGGACCTTGAAGCACAGTGGGTAAATGGTTAGCACTTCTGCCTGGCAGTACTCGGGTCATTGGTTCGGTCCAATCCCAACCCCGGCACTTCCTGCCTGGAGTTTGCATGTTTGCCTGTGTGGGTTTCCTCCCACACTCTAAAGACATGCTGGTAGGTGAACTGGCTCCTGTCTAAATTGTCCCTAGTATGTGTATGTATGAATGTAAGTTAGGGACCTTAGATTGTACCCCCTTGAGGGTTAGGGACTGATGTGAATGTACAATATATATGTAAAGTGCTGCGTACATTGACGGTGCTATATAAGTACCTGAAATAAATAAATATCACAAATCCCCTCCCCCCCAAAAAAAACAACATTCCCCTCCTAGCACAAATCCCTTCTCCCCCTACCACATTACCTTTTTTAGTACAAATCCCCCCTTCTAGCACAAATCCTCTTCTCCCATCCCCCTCCCAACACAAGTCCCCCCAAATCACCACTCCTCAGATTTCCCATCCTAGAACAGTACTTATCCCCTGCCCGGCCCCCCAATTCCCCCTTCAATTACAAATCCCCTCTTCCAATCTACTCATGGGGCCCCCCGACCTCACATGATAATGCAGTGCCCACCTGCCCACCCCTTGTCCCGGCCCTGCCTGCAGGCTGCCATCTTCCAATCCCTGTCCTTTATGAATGGCTGAATGATTCCAGCCATGACACACTTAAAAACACATGCTGCATGATGTAGCCATGTCATTGATGAAGGTGGCAGTCAGTGAGTGATCAGTGACAGTTCAGCAGTGGACGCTCGGTGACTGTCCAGCTGTAAACGCTCAATGACGGTCCAGCAGTGGACGCTCGGTGACGGTCCAGCAGTGGACGCTCGGTGACGGTCCAGCAGTGGACGCTCGGTGACGGTCAGCAGTGGACGCTCAGGTGACGGTCCAGCAGTGGACGCTCGGTGACGGTCCAGCAGTGGACGCTCGGTGACGGTCCAGCTGTAGACGCTCGGTGAGGTCCAGCAGTGGACGCTCGGTGACGGTCCAGCAGTGGACGCTCGGTGACGGTCCAGCTGTAGACGCTCGGTGACGGTCCAGCTGTAGACGCTCGGTGACGGTCCAGCATGTAGACGCTCGGTGGACGGTCCAGCTGTAGACGCTCGGTGACGGTCCAGCAGTGGACGCTCGGTGACGGTCCAGCAGTGGACGCTCGGTGACGGTCCCAGCTGTAGACGCTCGGTGACGGTCCCAGCTGTAGACGCTCGGTGACGGTCCAGCTGTAGACGCTCGGTGACGGTCCAGCAGTGGACGCTCGGTGACGGTCCCAGCTGTAGACGCTCGGTGACGGTCCAGCAGTGGACGCTCGGTGACGGTCCAGCTGTGGACGCTCGGTGACGGTCCAGCTGTGGACGCTCGGTGACGGTCCAGCTGTAGACGCTCGGTGACGGTCCAGCAGTAGACGCTCGGTGACGGTCCAGCAGTGGACGCTCGGTGACGGTCCAGCAGTGGACGCTCGGTGACGGTCCAGCAGTGGACGCTCGGAGGCGATCCAGCAGTGGATGCTCGGTGACGGTCCAGCTGTAGACGCTCGGTGACGGTCCAGCAGTGGATGCTCGGTGACGGTCCAGCAGTGGACGCTCGGTGACGGTCCAGCAGTAGATGCTCGGAGGCGGTCCAGCAGTGGATGCTCTCGTGACGGTCCAGCAGTGGACGCTCGGTGACGGTCCAGCAGTGGACGCTCGGTGACGGTCCAGCTGTAGACGTTCGGGTGACGGTCCAGCAGTGGACGCTCGGTGACGGTCCAGCAGTGGACGCTCGTGACGGTCCAGCTGTAGACGCTCGGTGACGGTCCAGCAGTGGACGCTCGGTGACGGTCCAGCAGTGGACGCTCGGTGACGGTCCAGCAGTGGACGCTCGGTGACGGTCCAGCAGTGGACGCTCGGTGACGGTCCAGCAGTGGACGCTCGGTGACGGTCCAGCTGTAGTGGACGCTCGGTGACGGTCCAGCAGTGGACGCTCGGTGACGGTCCCAGCAGTGGACGCTCGGTGACGGTCCAGCTGTAGACGCTCGGTGACGGTCCAGCTGTAGACGCTCGGTGACGGTCCAGCAGTGGACGCTCGGTGGAGGTCCAGCAGTGGACGCTCGGTGACGGTCCAGCAGTGGATGCTCGGTGACGGTTCAGCTGTAGACGCTCGTGACGGTTCAGCTGTAGACGCTCGGTGACGGTCCAGCAGTGGACGCTCGGTGACGGTCCAGCAGTGGATGCTCGGTGACGGTCCAGCAGTAGATGCTCGGAGGCGGTCCAGCAGTGGATGCTCGGTGACGGTCCAGCAGTCGACGCTCGGTGACGGTCCAGCAGTGGACGCTCGGTGACGGTCCAGCAGTGGACGCTCGGTGACGGTCCAGCAGTGGACGCTCGGTGACGGTCCAGCAGTAGACGCTCGGAGGCGGTCCAGCAGTGGACACTCGGTGACGGTCCAGCTGTGACGCTCGGTGACGGTCCAGCAGTGGACGCTCGGTGACGGTCCAGCAGTGGACGCTCGGTGACGGTCCAGCAGTAGACGCTCGGTGACGGTCCAGCTGTAGACGCTCGGTGACGGTCCAGCAGTGGACGCTCGGTGACGGTCCAGCAGTGACGCTCGGTGATGGTCCAGCAGTGGACGCTCGGTGACGGTCAAGCAGTGGACGCTCGATGATGGTCCAGCAGTGTAGACGCTCGGAGGTGGTCCAGCAGTGGACGCTCGGTGACGGTCCAGCAGTGGACGCTCGGTGACGGTCCAGCAGTGGACGCTCGGTGACGGTCCAGCAGTGGACGCTCGGTGACGGTCCAGCAGTGGACGCTCGGTGACGCCAGCTGTAGGGTGACGGTCCAGCTGTAGACGCTCGGTGACGGTCCAGCTGTGACGCTCGGTGACGGTCCAGCAGTAGACGCTCGGTGACGGTCCAGCTGTAGACGCTCGGTGGCGGTCCAGCAGTGGACGCTCGGTGACGGTCCAGCTGTAGACGCTCGGGTGACGGTCCAGCAGTGGACGCTCGGTGACGGTCCAGCTGTAGACGCTCGGTGACGGTCCAGCTGTGGACGCTCGGTGACGGTCCAGCAGTGGACGCTCGGTGACGGTCCAGCAGTGGACGCTCGGTGACGGTCCAGCAGTGGACGCTCGGTGACGGTCCAGCTGTAGATGCTCGGTGACTGTCCAGCTGTAGACGCTCGGTGACGGTCCAGCAGTGGACGCTCGGTGACGGTCAGCAGTGGACGCTCAGGTGACGGTCCAGCAGTGACGCTCGGTGACGGTCCAGCAGTGGACGCTCGGTGACGGTCCAGCAGTGGACGCTCGGTGACGGTCCAGCAGTGGACGCTCGGTGACGGTCCAGCAGGGTATCTGCACCTGTCTCTCCAGCAGATGTCGGGGTGCAGTGATGATTGGCTGGCAGCAGGTGTCGCTCTCCTCCTCCTTTCTCGATGCACGGTGATGAATCCGTGTGACGTCGGCGGGACCGGGGATAAAATGAGCCGGGAGAGGAGGATGGCACAGAGCTGAGCCCGGCACCGACACGCAGACACAGCCGGGAGGACCGCAGGCCCGAGAGGAAGAGCGGAGGGCAGGGTAGGGGAGGGCAGTACCGACGGAGGGTAGCGGGGAGGGCAGGCAGGCTCGGTGCCGGTGACAGGCGGAGGGAACACGTGGAGGCGGTAGTGAGGAGAGTAGCCCCTACCGGGGATCACAGAGTGCCCTAGCGGGGATCGGAGCCTCCATTTCCCCGGACCTCTCTGCCCTCCTACGGCTTTCAGCACCAGGACAGCGCCGGGGACAGCCGGGTCACGTGACTGGCGGAGCGGCCGGGGTTCGGAGGAGGTCGCACGTGGTTCGAGCCGGGCAGAGGAGACGGGTAGCGCCGCCGGGGCAGGATGTCGGCGGTGAAGCGGAGGCAGTCGGGCTCCCCGGGGGCGGAGGAGGAGGAGGCCGGGGAGAAGATGCTGCGGGAGAACGGCGGGGGCGGGGCTCCGGAGGCGGTGGAGCTGCAGCGGAACATCACCTTGATGAACGGGGTGGCCATCATCGTGGGGACCATCATCGGCTCCGGGATCTTCGTCACCCCCACCGGGGTCCTCCGGGAGGCGGGTTCCCCCGGGCTCTCCCTCATCGTGTGGGCCGTGTGCGGTCTCTTCTCCATAGTGGGGGCGCTGTGCTACGCGGAGCTGGGCACTACCATCTCCAAATCCGGGGGGGGGACTACGCCTATGTGCTGGAGGTGTACGGGGCCCTGCCCGCCTTCCTCAAACTCTGGGTGGAGCTGCTGATCATCCGACCCTCGTCCCAGTACATCGTGGCCCTGGTCTTCGCCACCTACCTGCTCAAACCCGTCTTCCCCAGCTGCCCCGTGCCCGACGACGCCGCCAAGCTGGTGGCCTGCCTGTGTGTCTGTGAGTACCTACCTCCATCTCCCACCATACACCTGTACTACCAGTGTGTACCTACCTCCATCACCCACAATCACCTGTACATACTGTGTACCTACCTCCATCTCCACCATACACCTATACATACTGTGTACCTACCTCCATCTCCCACCATACACCTATACATACTGTGTACCTACCTCCATCTCCCACCATACACCTGTACATACTGTGTACCTACCTCCATCACCCACCATACACTTGTACTACCTGTGAGTACCTACCTCCATCGCCCACTGTACACCTGTACATACTGTGTACCTACCTCCATCGCCCACCATACACCTGTACATACTGTGTACCTACCTCCATCTCCCACCATACACCTGTACTACCTGTGTGTATCTACCTCCATCGCCCACCATACACCTGTACATACTGTGTACCTACTCCATCTCTCCCACCATACACCTGTACTACCTGTGTGTATCTACCTCATCGCCCACCATACACCAGTACTACCTGTGTGTACTTACCTCCGTCGCCCACCATACACCTGTACTGCCTGTGTGTACCTACCTCCATCACCCACCATACACCTGTACCGACTGTGTACCTACCTCCATCACCCACCATACACCTATTCAGCCTGTGCGTATCTATACTACCCCCCAACCTCACACACACTCTCTACACTGAATATACATATATGGCCTTTTGCCACTGACAGTTGTTTGTAGCATTACATTCACAGAATATCATGTGTGGCCCTTTGGTGATGTCAGGGGCCACGTTTGAGGCTCCTCATGTCATGTAAGTTGACCATGTAATACACCTGTTGACCACCGCGTGGTGTTGTCCATCAGGCAGACACATATAGTGACCTGTGATTGGACTGCCTGTGTCTCGGGAGATACAGTGATCTGGATGTATGTGTACTCCATAGGCAGATACATGGAGTGATGTGTACAGTGATTGGGGTATATATGTGTGTAGACATTGTATGTATGGAGTGTATATGATTGTACATGTGTGTATGTCTTCTATCAGGCAGATACATGGAGTGATGTATGTACAGTGATTGGGGTACAGTGTGTATGTATGTGTATTTTGGACATTGTCTACATCAGTGTGTGTATGTACAGTGATTGTATGTGTGTATATGTGTATGTAGACATTGTCTTCTATCAGGCAGTCACATGGAGAGACATGCAGCATTGTAGTATTTCCTCCATCACATCCATCCTGCCCCCGCATGGCTTTCATCATCTTCTGTTGTACATATTTCACGTGTAGCGTGGCTCCGCCTCCCATTCATCCCCACCATGCTGTCCTGTTACATCAGCCTGCACGCTGCACAAGTGGAACCGGTTTATTCTGGAGATTGGCTTCAATAGAATGTATAGAAGTGCTGAATCTCACTGGGCCTCCGCCTGCGGCATCTGTCACCAGATTCCAGATATTTTTGGCGGGTGTGTGTACCCAGTGCTGGCCGCACCGCCCTCAGTAATTGTGTAATTATGGCCATTTCTTGCATCTTTTTAAATTTGTCAGAATATTTCAGGAAAAAAACATTAAAGGGGGGGGGGGGAATCAGACCGTGCTCCTCCTATTCAGTGATTGTGAGATTGTTTTGGACAAGGAATGATGAGTTCAGATCATACAGACATACTTTTTGTACATTAATACATTTTGTCCAATCGCTACTTTTTGACGTAAAAATAAAAAGTATGAAAAAAAAATGAGTCCTAGCAACAAACACACAACTTTTCTTGGATACGCTCACAATATTCAATGATTGGATTGATAATAGGACCAGATTGTAGCTTGAGTGGGCATCTTCAAGGGGTTCCTAGTCATGAATTGATTGGTGCCGGTTTGGCCCAATTCAGCGGCATCGGGTCACAAGTGTGATGTTGGCCCGTTCTCCCCGCATTCATCTGCGTACACTGCATAGGTAAGCACATGTGAAAACACGTACTTGAAGTGCCCGAGTTTCCAAATGGTCAGTCCGCCCATGATACAACCAGGGGCAGACTGACTACTCAAGGGGCCCCCCGGCAATAGGGGATCATGGGGCCCCTGTGCCCTTGCCCAAACTCAAAAAAGCCTATGAAAAAGGTACCATGGGCATCTCATGGGGCCCCCTACTGACCCCGGGTTCTCAGGCAGTGCCTGAGTTATCAAATGGTCAGTCCGCTCCTGATCATGATACAACCAGGGGCAGACGTACTACTAGAGGGGCCCCCGGGCAATAGGGGATCATGGGGCCCCTGTGTCCTTGCCCAAACTCAAAAAAGCCTATGAAAATGGTACCAGGGGCATCTCATGGGGCTCCCTACTGACCCCGGGCCCTCGGGCAGTGCCCGAGTTTCCAAATGGTCAGTCTGCCCCTGGATACAATGCAGTTCACCTCGCCGCATGTCACTGCACCACACTGAGTGTAACGTTCTGCTTCATAGAGTTCACTGTCAGTTTTTGACAAGTAGGAGATGAGAGGAAATGCAAGGAATCAGTTGAGTGCAGTTGAGCGCACGTGTTTTTAGCATGCTGGCTGGTGTGAACGACACCTGTAAAGTGAACTCATGCTTTTTCCAAGCAGGAAAGCAATAGTTGCAATTAAATGCCCCCCCCCCCCCCCCACCCATTCCCGCTGATTCCTCGCCTTCCTTCTGCTTGCTGGAGTGATTTGAAGTGACCGTTACTTCTAGATCAGAGAATGTGATGGTCTCCCTAAGGCTAATGCAGTTTGCGTTTGATCCGATTCTGCAGTGCATTTTGCGTTTTTGCACATGTGTTTTAAATTTTAATTTTTATTGTTAGGCAGATATAAAACACAGCAAAAACGCACTACATGCTTTTACTGCAGCGTTTCCACTGAAGTCTATAGAAACAAAAACACAACTTTTTGCATTTAAAAAAGTCCCTGACTCTTCCCAAAAAAACGCCCTGGGTGAAAATGTGGAGATGTGAACGTGTCCCATAGGAAATCATGTTAAGTGGACTGTAGTGCGTTTCTGGAAAACGCTTAGGTGTGAACCTAGGGTGAGGCTAGGGTTACCCCTGCTAGTGCGACCAAGCTTGCTTCACATGTAGGGCAGCCCATTCATTTCAATGGGCTGTTCTATATGCGAGAAACCTGGAGAAGTAGTCTCTGACCCTTTTCCAAAAACGTCCTGCCCTGAACCCCTTGATGCTGCAGTGCCGTACGATTTGTAGGTTAGAAGATGTATGGGGGTGCTTCAGGGCAGAGTGTTTCTTTGTGTCAAGAAAGTACGCAATTTTGCACACGTTTCCGATAAGCAAAGGTGAGCTTTACCTCTAGCAGTGCAATGCTGGGCGCCAATCACCAACAAAGTCCACGTTTTGCTGGAGTGGGGTGGGAGTCCGTAGGCCTCTGTTAACCTGCCTAGCAGTCTGAGTATGTCAGTATTTCTGTGCTCAAAGCGGTACATTTTTTTGCATGGAAATATGTATTTTTTTTATTGTAGGCCTGTATTTCTTAGGAATAACTCACTGAAATCTGTCCGAACAAGAGTCTAGTAAACATCCCGGGTATGTTAAATTTGAAACACGAAATCATAAATTATAATTTAGTAAATAATCAAAAAAATAATAATATAATAATAAATTTAATTCAATAATGTAATCAAACCAAAAACACTGAAATGTGAAATATAGCGCCAAGTTCGCACATCGCTGAGCAAAGTCGCAGAATCGTTTTCAGTGTCTGATGACAAATTTCCCCCACGAATCATTATCACTCAATTCTGCAAGTGGTTCTGATTTACTATCACTGTTCTCTAGCCGGTCTAAAACCGCTTTTGACCTAAAGGGACACTTTTTGGACGCCATGGACTTTTCTCAGTTTCCAGGCAGAAAGAACAGTAAAAATGCAGGCAGGGCGCCGGACAAAGCACTCGGGACAAAATGTATGTGAAATGGGTTGATACAGGAATGGAATACTATTTTAGTGAATTTAGTGAATATCACTTTTTGTCATTTTTAAATTTCCCGCCGTTCCATCCCCCGTACGTCCCGACGTCGCAGGGAACGGAACCCAGAAGACAGATGCCGGCATCCGCCGGAGAACATTACTGCAGGAGGGACATCGCGGGAGCGCAGGACAAGGTAAGTGCAGAAGAGATCCCGGAGCAACGCTGCAGTGTATTCCTGAGTGTAGCTCGAGGTTACCACTTGTGGTGCTGAAACTTTACCCCGAGCTACACTCAGGAATACCTCCAGGGAGGCTACTTCTGTTCAGATCAGCCAACGAGCAAAGAAGTGTGTCTGTTGTATCACCCAGCATAGGTTCACCACAGAACTGCTTGATCTATGGCTGGTCATACAAAATACAATCTGATTGTACAATTTCCTTTAGATGTACCACCAACTATGCAGTGCAAGGGCCTGCCTGATAGGATACAAATTGGACGGATTGTTTAGGTGTGTTCTTATATTACAAAGTTTTGGTAAATTACATCACCAAACTTGTCTCCAAATATCACCCAAACCGTCCTCTCCGCTCCTCGCACGACCTCCTACTCTCTAGATCCCTTGTCTCCTCCCATGCTCGTCTCCAGGACTTCTCCAGAGCTTCCCCCATCCTCTGGAACTCTACCCCAATTTATCAGACTATCATCTACTCTGCTCACTTTTAGGCGATCTCTGAAAACCTCTTCGGGGAAGCCTTTCCTGTCCTCAGCTAATAATGGAATCTTCTGTTCCTCCTACCAGTCCATCCCCCACAGTTATTACCTTTTGTACCACTAACCCCTCCCTCTTAGATTGTAAGCTCCAAGGATCAGGGCCCTCCTATCCCTCTTGTATTGAACTGTATTGTTGCTGTACTGTCTCCCTTTATATTGTAAAGCGCTGAGCAAACTGTTGGCGCTATATAAATCCTGTATAATAATAATATATAAATCCTGTATAATAATAATATATAAATCCTGTATAATAATAATAATATATATCCTGTATAATATAATAATATATAAATCCTGTATAATAATAATATATAA